ACCTATCTTTTGACTAGGTCTCTGAGCTCCGGGCAGAGCCCACACTGAATCCTGGGTCTCCAAAAAGGGAGAATTATTATGAGGCTAGAGCGTGTGATGCTTTCACAGTGCACTTAAAAAGTTTTTTTAAACGAAGACACTTCTAATGTCTAAACTACACTCTTCCTTAAAAAAGCCTTTGGTGCAATAACTCTTTTAGTCAATAAGTCAGGTAACACAATACAAAAGCAAGCAGTGTAAGAGCTGAGATGAACTTGTCTGCTTACACTCTTGGGGTTTCATAAGGAAAAACAGGTTTCTCCCCAAAAGGGAGTCTGGCACCTTCTCCGCTTTCTTGAAGGAAAGTCAGGCTATTATAAACTATAATATTGTAGGTCCCTCATGCAGCAGAGGGTGCAAAAGAAAGGAGAGACAGCAGAAGTAAATGAAAAAAACAGAATTCAGTCAACTGAGAAAAAAATCTTTAGCTAAAAAAAAAAGAGAAAGACAAGGTCCCAGGAGAAAAAGAAAAAATGTGAAGGCCTTTTCAATACAAACACACACACACACATGCACACACACATGCACACACATACACACACACATGCACACACACATGCACAAACATACACATACACAAACACACACACATACACACACACATGCACAAACACACACGCACACATCTTGGATGTTAGCTTTTAATTAAGCTTTCAATCATTGAGCTCCTTTTAAAAAATATTTTTAAATCTCATTACCATAATTCAGCTAGAACAAATTGCTGCTATTTCAGAGGTATCAAGTATCAAACCAGAAATGGCTTAGTTTAGCAACCACACCCAAGCTGTCCTGGTGGAAAAAAAGAAGCCAGAGCCCTTAACTATGGAACTGCAGTGTGGGGTGACAGCCATTGCCCTTTCAGTTTGGCCTGGCTAGCAAAAAGGTGGCCTTGATATGTAAATAAAGCCCCTTAAGTAATCAAAATAAAAAATCTCTCCTGTTTTTTTTTTTTTTTCCCTCTTGTTGGCCATTTTTGTCCCCCACCATAGTGTGGGAATTTAGCCACTTCAGAGGTCTTGTTCCCCATAATTTGGAAGTTTCCTTTGGATTTGATGGAGTCGGATAGAGCTGATCAATCCCAATGGGAAAAAGACTGAAACAACAACAAAAACAGAAACAAACAAACAACAACAAAAACAATTAAGCAAAACAAATATGGTACAACTTATCCAACTACTGAGTGCTCTAATGGTAAAGAGAAATTACAACCAACTGGTTGTTAACTTTAGCCAATACAAACTCCAATTCAGTTACCCATCCTTAGGTAAGGGATGGGTCTCAGGCTGAAGGCCGCTCTCTACCATCCTAGAAGCAGGAAAAAACTCAAATTTGTCTTCCCCATTGGAAGCAAGATCAAACTCCATAAAGGAGTTACCTGCATTTCATCGTCATCAAAGCAGGAAAAACTTGCCTTTCTTGTGTTGGAAGCTAGTAAAACTCTAACAAAAGGAGTTGTACAGCAAAATAAACTTTAGATCTTGATCAAATTTTGGAAGATCAGTGATTGGAGGGGGTGCCTCCAGGCCTCAGCAAATTGTTCTATTGGTTTGAGCCATAAAGATAGTTCAAGCTGGTACCGAGCACTGATAGGAGATTTGTCAAAGGTCAGGGATGCCTCTGCCCAGAATCTCTTCATGGTTGCCAAAATGTGAGCCCTGAATATCTGAGAAAGGTCTTGTTTAATTTGGAAAGCTTATTTTGCCAAGATTGAGGATGCACACCTGTGACACAGCCTCAGGAGGTCCTGATGACACGTGCCCAAGGTAGTCAGGGCACAGCTTGGTTTTATACATTTTAGGGAGACATGAGACATCAATCAATATATGTAAGATATACATTGGTTCTGTCAAGACAGGTCAGACAGCTCAAGCAGCCAGAAGGCTTCCAGGTCACAGGTAGGTGAGAGACAAATGGTTGCATTCTTCTGAGTTTCTGATTAGCCTTTGCAAAGGAGGCAATCAGATATGCATTTATCTCAGCGAACAGAGGGATGACTTTGAATAGAATGGGAGGCAGGTTTGCCCTAAGCAGGTCCCAGCTTGACTTTTCCCTTTAGCTTAGTGATTTTGGGGCCCCAAGATTTATTTTCCATTCACTGTGTGTGTGTGTATGTGTGTATATACATACACACACACACAAACAAACAAATTGAAAAATCTCATTAAGTACAGCAAGTCATATGGTATTTTTAACTTGCCCTATTCTATTCTCATCCCCTCCTCACTGGCTCCACTGCAGCTTTGAAAATTAACAGCCCATAATTACAGTGAAGACCAATAGCCCAGCAACCACTGGAAAGACAGAACGGGGCTGGATT